ATCACTAGTGCTACTGATTGTTCCTAATACCAGATTGATTACCCTGTTTTAATAATAGCAGTCAGCTAATTTTAAATCCATTTACATGTTATGCCCCCTTTTGTTCCACTTTGATTTGATGTTCTTTCTGAACCTCAAAAGGAACCAGAGACACTTCTATTTTTGATTTGTTTATTTTCAACATGTGTTCTAATTTTATGACCCTGTTACACAGGTCATCTAGACAAATACTAGGGCACAACTCTAGTCCTGAGCACCAAATAATAAGCATAATCTGAATAGAAATGCTCTCCTTTCCTCTTCCTTTTCCCTCCTCTACTTCACTTCCTCAGAGATTGAGCCTGTTGTGAACCATTAGTAAGTTCTGAGTGATAATTTGAGAATAAGAACAGTCTTAAGTCATCAATCAGAACTCTACTTACACCCTTTTCAGCAAACATATGCTGACCCAAACCTATCTTAGCATTCTGTCATCCACAGCGAAGATAATAACAGAATACTTCACCAGCTAACCACACCTGGCAAAACCTAGCTGTACAACCTAGCTCCACATTCTGTTTGATCTTGTATTAGTCTCTAGCCCTTACTCTCAACACAAGCTTGACAAAATGTTGCAGATGCTGTCCAGACGGCAGACCAAAAGGACTGGCCAGGCATTGTGAGGAACACCCTTCTACCCAGGGCTGCCGACAACCTACTGCACCAGAGCCGAAGGTATATTGGTGCAGTGCCAGTTGTTGTCTTGTAGGCAAACATCAGTACCTTGAATTTGATGCGAGCACGATGAGGATCAGCGCTGTCCTGTGAAGACCTCCAAGGTAATATAACTCCACAAGTTTGGTTATTTCCACAAAGTATGAAACAATAGTCACAGACCATAAACAGCGAGCAACAAGAGGCACAATCGATCACTATATTCCAGATTTGAGCCCCCTAAACGTAGCCAGCCGGATCCTTTATCGGAAGTAGACAGACAAGTGTATGATGATGCAAGAAGACAAGTAGATGATGCCAATGACGTCAGGGGATTCCCTGGCGCATTGTGAAACTCTCGCAAGAGAAAACAGAATCAACCACACTTGACGGGGCAACAGAAACACAGGGGAAACAATTATAGCCGACCCAACTACACAATTAGCCTGAGAGGCCGCCTTATAAATATCCCCTTGATGTGGCCGCACCACAAGGTCTACTGATTTGAATTAAGGAGATTCCCCCATCTCCCCTACACTCACACATACTCTGGTCTTATGGCTTTTTTTCTTTTTATTGTTCTCTTTGGTTCTTTTCTTTATACTTCATTATTATTGTTATACATTTACAGTTGTATTTATGGTTCCTTGTTTTGGTTATAATTGCCTCTTTTTTAACTGTTGTTGACTTCTTTCAGCACTGTTGTTGTCATGATCTCTAGCTGGGGCCCGTTTCAGAAACGAAGTTAAGTGAAAACTCTGAGTATGTTAACCCTGAAATTAAATTAGGGAAACTCTGGGTTTCCATTTCAGAATGGGAGATTTGTCAAACCCAAGAAAGCAGAGTAAGTCAAGTCCGTTTCTGTAAGAGAGGAAACTAATACTCAGAGTAAGTTACCATGGTAAGTTACTCTGTGAACCTAACATGGTCAGGAGCAGGTTTTCTTCATTAAACCCAGTTGCTTTCGGTCTCCTCCCCCTTTTTAAAGTGTAAGCATTTACATTTACATTTAATCGTTTAGCAGACGCTTTTATCCAAAGTGACTTACAAATGAGGAGAACAATAGAAGCAATCAGACGAACGAGAGAGCAACAGTATACAAGTGCTGTGACAAGTCTCAGTTAGTTTAGCACAGTACACATAGCTAGGTTTTTTTTATAGAATAGAATAGAATAGAATAGAATAGGTAAATGCTAGTATTAGTTCGTCAGGTGCTGGCGAATGTTTTTGTTTTTTGATGTTTTTTGAAAATGGCCAAAGTCTCAGCTGTTCGAATTGAGATAGGGAGGTCATTCCATCGGCTGGGCACAGTCCAGAAAAAGGTCCCTGATAGTGATGGCACCATCTACTTTGGGTTGGCACCACAAGGCAGTGTTTACTTGCCGAACGCAAGCTTCTGTAGGGTGCATAAGTTTGACCTAGCGAGTTTAGGTATATTGGTGCAGTGCCAGTTGTTGTCTTGTAGGCAAACATCAGTACCTTGAATTTGATGTGAGCAGTTACTGGTAGCCAGTGTAAACTGAATGAAGAGAGGTGTAACGTGAGATTTTTTCAGCTCGTTAAAGACCACTCTCGCTGCTGCATTCTGGATCAGTTGCAGAGGCTTGATAGTACATGCGGGAAGGCACACCAAGAGAGCATTACAATAGTCGAGTCTGGAGAGAACAAGAGCTTGGACAAGGAGTTGTGCAGCTTGCTCTGATAGGAAGAGTCTAATCTTCCTAATGTTGTATAAAGCAAATCTGCAGGACTGGGCCGTTGTAGCAATATGGTCTGTAAAGCTTAACCTAAACTCGCTAGGTCAAACTTATGCACCCTACAGAAGCTTGCGTTCAGCAAGTAAACACTGCCTTGTGGTGTGTAGGAAACTTTTTCCTCGTCGAAGCAGAGACCAGGAGACGTTGGTACCATCCCAAAGAGGCACAAAATCACTATCAGGGACCTTTTTCTGGACTGTGCCCAGCCGATGGAATGACCTCCTTATCTCAATTTGAACAGCTGAGACTTTGGCCATTTTCAAAAAATATCTTCAAACACTTCTCCGGTGAGGACGAACCAAAAACTACACACACACACACACACACACACACACACACACACACACACACTCTGGACTTTCAAGGGCAATCCAATGCACACAAATACATACATATTATATTTTATATATTGTTTCACTGTGCTTTTGTACAATACACTTTCAGCTTGCATTTATTTCTTGGGTTATGTGGTATTTTCTTTGTGTCTGCCAGTAATAGAACACGCTCTTAGAAGGGTTAGAGAAGTACTTTATTTGTGTTGCCTGCCTCAGATAGGCAGAGTGTTACAACCTTTGAGCTTCTCCAAAGTTTGAGCCCAGAGTCTAATGGTGTCCTCTCTTGCACCGTGAATGCGTGCAGTGGACAATTCGAGATATACCACATCTATAAAAATGTGAGCTCAATATAGCTTATTTAGAAAATGTGGCGTTTTCCATCCCGTTACTACTAATTTCTTGGCAGCTGTCAAGCCAGCTAAAACACTCGTTTCTGAGTTTTAAGTTGGATATCAGAGAGATCATTTAAAGTAAAAACAGATGGGGACAAAGTGACCGAAACATATAATATAGTGGACAAATTTTCTTTAACCGGACTTCCGGTTATGGCGGCGCTAGAGTGAGACGCAGCGTTTAGAGCTCCTGAATAATTCTATCTAAATAACCCTCCCTAAAGATATTTATTACGACGAAAGTACTTTATCTAAAATAATAACTTCGAATATTCCGATAAATATGCCGAATCCAAAGAAAACAGACAATAAAAATGAAGTAACTCAGGAAACGAGACTGCCACTGTCCGACCCGCCGCCATGGTTCCATGCAGAAATGGAAAAAGGTTTTCTCAGAATTCAGGAGTTAATCGACGGACGCCTGAGTAAGTTCGCAGAATCCTTGGAGAAAATGGGTAACGAATTATAGTCAATAAATCTGAGAATGGTGGATGTAGAAACCAAGCAGTTGGAGACGGAAGAAGCGGTAACGGGCCTTCACAAAGATGTGGGGAATGTCAAATTGGCTGTTGACGACGAAATTAAACAGCTGAAAGATAAAATTGATGAACTTGAGAATCAATCTCGCCGTCAGAATTTACGTCTTGTTGGCTTCCCAGAGGGAGTGGAAGGCAGAAACGCCGTGGATTTTTTAAAGGAATGGCTGCCTAAGATTCTGGGACAGGAGGACGAGATCTACGAAATTGAAAGAGCTCATCGCACTTTGCAACGACGACCAGCGGAAAACGGCAAACCACGGGCCATTCTGATTCGTCTACTTCGATATGGAGACACACTTAAGATTCTCAATGTGGCCAGAGAAAGGGGCAAGCTCACCTATGGCAATTCTACTATCATGATATTTCGTGACATGTCATCGACCTTGTTTAGAAAGCGACAAGAATTCAGCGCACTCATGTGAAAATAATAAATATATTGATAAAAAAAAAAAATAAATTCTTTAACCATATTCCAAAAGTTAGCAAACCCAGGGCATTCCCAAATCATGTGATAAAAAGTACCCATTTCCCCTGTATTGCAGAGTGTACAATTAGGATCAAGTTTAAGCTTCATACTATACAGTTTACGTGGAGTCATATAAGTCCTATGAATACAATTAAAATCTTAATTTTGCTATTAAGATTCCTAGAAGCATGCATTACCATAACCCACACACGGTCCCAATCAAAACTAGGGGAAAGGTCCGGAATATCTGTCTGCCAGGAAGAGTCTATTGTCAGAGGAGGATACATTTTATCCAGAAAAAAAAAACATACAATTTAGAAACTAATCCTTTTGTTCCCTGGGTCTCACATAATACTTTCAGTAAAGGGTGGTCTTTAAGAGGAGCCGTCCAAGGGACCCCATAGGTCTTCATGGCTGCCCTCAACTGTAAGTAAAAAAAAGGTGGAACTCTGCAGGTTAAATTGAATAGAAAGTTCTTCAAAGGTGTAAAGGCCCTTGTCACCCATTATATCACCCAATGAGTGAATCCCTTTGTCGTACCACTTAATAGGGTGCTTACCAATGGCAAACCATAATTATTAAAGATAGGAGAGTAGGGATTCCAATTAGAGTGGATATCACAAACTTTTTCTGCTGCTCTCCAGACTGACAGAACATGTGATACTAAAGGACCGAAACAAAGTTTACACTTATTTAGAGGGATATTAGAAAATAAAACTTTATCCAACTTCAGAGGACCCAGTCAACAATTTGATCTCACAATGATGTCACCATGAGCTCACATGATACTCATGATGTGGTCACAATGTGTGGGTCACAGTGAGCTAAAAGTAGGCTTGTTTGAGATGAACAAAATCTGCGCAGAACCGATCACCGGTGATCACCGTGAGATGCATGCCGGTTAGAAAAGTGTCCGACTTGTTCTGATGTCATGCTGACGTGTGCCAAAAAACTCTCGCGATAGCGAGGCGGCTGCGTCGGATTGTGCAGTCGAGCACAGTTGCTCTCCACCGACTGCGCTGATCAAAAGCATGATGGGAAACGACTGACAGCTTAATGCTTATTGTTTCAGTCAACCGTGATTTTGCGTTCTCTTCTAAAATGTTATATTTTGTTTTGTTTATTTTTTTTTATCTGATTTCATGCGATTATATATTTAAATTATGCATGAGTATTTCCAAACACTATGACAGTGCAATCTCTGTGTGAGATATGCGATTGTTTTCACATTTCTATAAAAATCAAAAATATATGTTTGAATTAAAGTAAAAATGGATGATAAATACGCCTTTCATATGGAATTAAATAGCAAGCACTTTGAGTGTCTTGTTCATCATATTTATTTTCATATAAAGCAACAGAACTGAAATTATATCATGTTTATCAGCAGCACAGTACACGAGTGAGAATAACGTGATATCCGCCTTTGATCTCATAGGTATCTGTTCCACTTCGAGAGGTCAGAACTGTCCGTCTTGACTGCGCTTATTTCACTCCTCCCCTCACTGCAGCCGCCTACTCTCACCTACATTTCAGGTGAGGTGAGGCACATCTCAAACCTGCCAAGTGTAACCACACAGCACACTCACTGTGTGCTCAAACTGTGGTCACAATGTGAGGTCACTGCACACTCACAGTGTGCGCTCATACTGTGAACTCACCATATGAGACCACTGTGAAATCATTGTGTTGTGAGTTCACCATTATCTAAAACTGATCAGCCATATCTCAAACATTTACAAGTCCATTCTTTATTTCCATCAACAAAGACAAATCAAACAAAAAGTCAGTTTCCTTCTTTATTTTGTTTTCTTTTCAGCCTGGTGTTGGCATTGGACACAATTTCAACTTGGCGAATACATTCAGCTTCTGGTGTAGTTATTGTGACGACTTTTTGCTTCTTCACCTCTATTTCATTGTGCGTTTGAAAAGACCTGACACATCCTGAAACACAAAGAGCAATATGTTAATGCGATAAGTTACTAACAACTACTGCTCTTGACATTACATTTTCTACAGCAGTGTTCAGATGCACAAGCCAGAACTTACACACTTACTTTTCAAACATGTCAGGAGCCCAGGTGGCAACACCTTCCCATCTTTCCCAATCCGGTTGTACAGACAGAGAACATTGTCTGTCACAATGCTTTTTAGACTCTGTCTCACTATCTCACCTATATTGGAGCTACCGTGGGTATGGATGAGATAGTTTACCTGAGAAAAACATACAGAATATTGTTATAATTAAAAGATGCCAGGCTTCAACATTTTATTTACATGGTATCTGCTGCACACTAAATAAATTATCAATTAAACTGTAGCTTTTTTGTAAAAAAAAAAAAAAAAAGCATTTATGTAGTAGTACTAACATAAAGCTCTCGATACGTACTAACATAAAGCTTCAAACGTTTCAAAACTGGAGCATTGTTGTTGTTTAAAAAAGTACCTCACGGGCATTTTCATCTGCCCGCTTTGTGAGAACAGCCTTAATTTTTGTTCCCCATTCCTAACAGGTCAAAAGAACTTCTGTATTAGTAAAACAATATATGAAACAAATAATACTTTCACAAAACGTGTTTGTTTGTTTGTTTGAGAGGAGAATCTTAGCCACTCCCACTGATTAACCAGCTGTCTTTGATGATTGCCAACTAATTGTTTAAGAAGTGTTGTTTGAACAATTGATGTGTATCCTAAAGAAGGCTGTGTAGCCTAAATTACACTTACATAGATCTACACTTAACATTTTAATCATGTAGTGTTGCATGATAAACATCATAATCTGATGTTTGGGTAAAATAATTTGTTTGTTATGTTAATAAGAGAATGAATGTCAGTCACTTTTAAGAGTTTTGGTAAATGGGAAGTGATGTTGACGCTTTTAACATAGAACAGCTACAGTTCCGCAGATAGAAGTTTTTGTTGTTGTTGTGAATAAAGAGAAAAGGTAAGTTCAAAAACGAGTCGTCTTTTCAGACAGAACACTCGGTGAATTAAATGCTTTTTATCTTTACTACGAGTGCCTTGGAGTATTTCATCTTTTCAGTATGATTGATATTTACCTCCAGTTATCCAAAGAGCACTGATGATTACGGGATTAGACCAGTGCAGCATTCTTGGCTCCTGTTGTTTTACAATGCTTGTTTAGTTTTTGAAATATGATCACAAGTTAGTACTGTTGTACTGATCTGACATAAGAGGCCTAACAATTCACAAATGCTGATATGCAAACAAGCTGCAGCTAGCCATCTGGTGTGATTACTGAAGCCAGGTAAAATGGCTGGTGCACATGTAGCATGTGCCAGCAGTACTCTGCTAACACAGGGCCAGACCACATTGCATATTTGAATTATAATATCATCTGAAAGTATGTAAATAGCCCACTCAATATTTCTGCAGTGTAACAATTCCTTGCACAACTACTTCTTCTTTAGATGTTTTATAGCGATTGGCATACCAGCTTAAATGGTGTATTTACCGCCACCAACTGGACAGGAGTGTGAAGCGTTGACTGGGAATTAGCTTAAAAAATAAAAAAACCTCCTAAACTATATTCTGTTGAACAATCCTGTTTCCCTTAGATACCACATTAAAAGATTATAAACCCTTGACTCATTTTGTGCTTTTCGAAATATACTTATTACTTCCTTGCACAACTGCACAGTAGGGCTGTGCAAAAAATCGAATGCGATTTTCATGCGCATCTTGTCAGTAAAGCCGCTCCTGTGATTAGTAGTAAATCTCCAGCATGTGCTTTCAGATGGAGTGGCATTTACTACACAGAGCTGTAGTTCACTGACAAGCCGATTTCATTGCCGATTTTGAATGCGATTTTGTGTAGCTTGTCAGTGAACTACGGCTCTGTGTAGTAAATGGCGCTCCATCTGAAAGCACCCTGACTTTGTGCGTGGTACGCAGTAGATTGATTATGCTTAATGTGCAGCTGTTTTAGAACCTGCTGAAAAAGATGAGAAGTCAGGTTTGAACCTTGGTCACTTTGGATGGTTTTTGGAATTCCAAAGACAGATATAAATTGAGTTAACGCTCTCACAATAGAACGCGATGTAATACTACATAATGGATATGCTGCCGGAAAACGCGTGTTCAAACATATCACGGTAAACAAATAATTGCTTCCAGACTTCGAACGAGGAAGTGGCCCGACACAATCAACAATGAGATGTTCAAAAGGTTCGCCAACAGCTTGAATTGGTTTCAGAGGTGCAGGTTTTAACACTTGATTCGGCTTACTGGTTAGCTGGCAGGTCTTACATTTTTTTATATAAATAGAGATGTTTCGTTTTAGACACGGCCAAAAAAAATATCGCAGCAAGCGATCATAAGTCTTACGCACGCCCTGATGACCTGATTGATCATGTGCAATTTCGATCACTGTATGTCGAAACTTAACAGGAACCACCACCAGGAAGACAGGATCCCCAACCAAGTCACCTTTGTGAGGAATCCATTTTCTCAGTAGCACTCCATCACTGACAAAATATCCACGAGCAAGGTTACCAATTTCTGCAGGAGTGACAGCCCACTGGAAAAGCTCATCCAAAGAGTTATCAGTTCGCTGCTCTTTTCCAAGTTCCTCTGCCAAAACAGGAAAAGACAACGCAGACAAATCAGGAACAAACAAATCAGTGCAAGCTTTATTACATGGGGTTTCCTTTTGATCAGTCAATTCCTCCTTTCCCTGCTTCATTGCACGAGTCACTACACATGTGGCATCTTGACTTCGTTCCGTTTCATTTTTATTATTAGCAGTAACTATAGGGAACACTGAACTGTCAGCCCATACACGCTCACCTACTAGTCCGTTTCCTAAAATAATATGAACTCCTTCAATTGGCAAGGCTGGTCGTACTCCCACTGCAACCTCACCTTGAATCAATTCAGACTGAAGTCTTACCTTATGAAGAGGCACAGACAGAACATTCAGTCTTATTCTCCTAATTAACACATTCTCACCAGTATGGGATAGCGAGGGAAACGGCAGAACAGATTGCAAGATGAATGAATCCATTGATCCAGTATCCCGTAATATTTTAACAGGGACTTCTTTCTCCTCTCCTAAAGATGCATAACCTTCTGTAATGAAAGAGGAGTAAGAAGACAAAAATTCAACATCAGGTTTTTGATCTTCAAACATTTCAATCCCTTCAGACAGAACTGGTGCCACCGAAGCAGCAGGCTTAATGTGCTACAGTTAGATTGGATTTATTCTTAAGGACTGGACAATCCAATTTCCTTTCTCCCGGCAGTAATTGCATATTTTACTCGGGTCAAATTTTCCCGTGAAAACACGGTCATTTTTAGATGGAGACTTTACAGAGGTAGCAGACTGAACATCATGAACATGCACATCAATAAAAACAGATTTGTGCGTCAGTACAAAGTCATCGGCTAACGTCGCCGCTTCCTCAAGAGTTTCAACATTGTGCTCATTGATATATATGGCGACACGACTCGGAACTGTGTTTTTAAATTGTTCTAGAACCATCAAATGACTTAAATCTTCAAATGTCTTAATGTCTAGTGCTGTACACCAACGATTAAAGTTTCTCCTCAAATCTCTGACAAATTCTAAATGAGTTTGTACCTCTTCTTTTTTCTGCAAACGAAAACGCTGTCTATATGCTTCTGGTACGCATTCATATGCCTTTAAAATTACAGATTTAACTTTATCATAATCTCTACAGTCATCGACCGACATTGAAGAGAAAACTACTTGTGCTTTCCCGGTTAAAACACATTGTAGCAAAGCAACACAATTACTGTTTGACCAGTCCCTCATTTCTGCCATGCGTTCAAACAAGATAAAGTATCAGGGTCTTCCTCATTGAACTTTGGAACAAGTTTTAAATTTGAAGTAAGCGAAAAAGACATGCCTTGTTCCTCACCAGAATTAGATAACCTTATGAAGGAGGGTAGGCTAAGTTTGAAGGCTTCTACTTCAAGTCTTGCTTTTTCCAACTCCAGCTTACCTTCTTCAGAACGCTGTTTTAGTTTCTGATGCTCCATCTGCAAAAGTAGAAGCTCTTTTTGCTGTTCAAAAGACAAACTCGTTTGCAATTTAGATGCACCTACAGATTCATCCATATCGGACTTTAAAAAGCCTTTATCAATCAGCTCAGTTTTCAAAATTAATTTAAAGGGGTCATATGATGCGATTTCAAGTTTTCCTTTCTCTTTGGAGTGTTACAAGCTGATTGTGCATAAATAAGATCCCTGAAGTTGCAAAGACTAAAGTCTCAAAACCAAAGAGATATTCTTTATCAAAGTTAAGACTCTGCCACGCCCCCCTAAAACGGCTCGTTCTAACACACCCCACATATCTACCTCACTATGTGAAAATATTTGCATAATGCCGCCCAAATGTGCACGCAAAGAAAGAAGGCGTGGCAGTTAGTGTTGAAGCAGCCATGTCAAGGAGACGCTGTGTGTTTCTAGGCGAAAGCAAAAGCACTATATTTGGCCTTCCGAAAGTAGATGCATTAAGATTACTTACAACAGAACAGCAATGCATTTTATGGACAACCGTTTCGTGAACCTAGGAGAGGAGGTAATTCTGACTTTGCTATGACAATCTGGCGCTTCTGAATCAGCTACTGTTTTGTTATTAGTTTAAGTATTTGCTATTGACTGTTCAAATGCGGAGTTTTGCGCATCGTGCGTGCGTGTGAGAGAGAGAGAGCGAGAGAGAGAGAGAAGGGGTCACATCACAGTGGAGTCAGCTGTCTTAACCGTGGCTTGTGTACTGCAAACACATACCAGCTTCATCACTGTGTCTGTCACGCGACTCTGTTCCCCTTTCGGGCTCTGTCTTTACATTTATTTTGAAAGATGAAGCTCGCGATTATGGTAAGGGGCGTTACATTTCCGACGAGTGCTTGCGGTGTTCGGCCAATCACAATGCACTGGGTCAGCTGGCCAATCAGAGCAGACTGCGCTTGTCAGAAGGAGGGACTTTGTAGAAAACGAAGCGTTTGAGAGAGGCGGGGCATAGAGGACCTACAATAATGTACAGTATTTGAAAAATAATGTGTTTTTTGAACATTAAAGCATGTCAACATATTTGAAAAATAATATGTTTTATGAACATTAAAGCATGTCAACATATTCTGTTACACCAAATACACAAAATAATGATCTTTAAAAAAGCATCATATGACCCCTTTAACGCTTTCTCTGCCGAGTCTTTTATCCTTAATCACTATTTTATAATATTCAGCGATTTTTAACAATTGTTCTTTAGAACATCCTTCTAAAAATTCATGCGAAGGTGAACTAATAAACAAATCAATATCGGCCATGAAAATTCACCAGAAAACAATTTAACTTACACAGTGCAATCAAATAACGAGAGTTTCCCCTCTATCTGCCTACCCAATATTCTACCTACCTCAACCATAGTCTTCATGCGATTACTTGTGGGGGGTATTTACGCACTGTAGCCCGCTGGGTGAAAACGCAACCGGTAAAACCAGCGACGCCTTCAACACCACGGATGTGCCCCCGAGATAAGTACTACTACCCGCATCACTACACAAAAACAACAAACTCAACACGTCTCAAAAGAAACATGCCCCTATACCTAACAGGCAAAACTCACGTTCAAAAAAATAATATTGCACATATGTATAGGATCAGAATCCCGCCTAAAGTATTGCAGTCACGGATAAAAAAAATAACAAGCATGAAAACAAAATTTAAAAACGCAAGTAAAAAATATATTGCACAAGATTTAAAAATGAAAGCAACGTTTTCAGAATAGCAAACATGGTCACGGATTTAAAAATAATAAGCGTAAATCAAAAAATTAATAACGCATTTTTTAAAATAATAAGCATGAATCAAAACTTTAAACACGTTTTAAAATCATATTGCACAAAATTTAAATATTAATGCAAAATTGTCTGACTTGCGCACAAAATCATGTTTTCCTTGGTTATATTTCTCTGTTTTTCTGCTCTCAGACATTTTCTGCACATATTTTTTATTTTTTGTATTATGCTGTTTTTCCCTTCGCTCTTGTTTCCACGTTCTGCGCTTGCTTTCCCAAATGTTGCGGTTAGAGTTTCATGTAAATCAGGGTGGGCTTAAGCGTCATCATTGGTCCACTAGTTCTAGATTGACAGCTCCTCCTCTAGCCAATCAGATGAAGAGGGGCGGTGACGTCACTCCAACGCGCCTCATTACTGCCGATGCTCAGTGTTCTGTTCACTTGTACAGGTGAAAATGGACAGCTGTCAGCTGGAAAACATCTTTCCATACAGGACACCGTTATATGTGTCTGTCTGTTACTGCTGTATGTCTGTCTGAGCGTTCGTGTGTGTATGTGTGTTTGTGTGGTTTCCACAAAGAAATGTAGAAAACACAAAAGATTACAACACTGTAGAACATCACTGAATTAAATTAGCCTATACACTTTACATATAAATCACATTTCTTATCAATATACATTTAATGATTAACAATAAAGATTAATAATAAGGAAAAGAGGCACATTACAAATAGCCTACGTCGTTGAAGCCCGTCCTACTGTAGATAAACAGAACATCCCCGCTTATTAACTAACAATCATGTACCTCAAAGAAGCACAAATAAAGATATAGGTGCAAACAGAATACAGTGACGTCAACCTTGGTTTTAATAAGCAGTTATTTTATGACACAGAACGCGTTGGTGAAACTCATGCATCTAGCAAGAACTTAATACACAAAATAGTCATATTGATTCAAGCATTTAACATTTATGAATGAATTAAATGTCAGTAATGAACAACACTGCACAAATTATAGCGATCACGAGGAAGGTCCTATTCTATCCCAAACGCGTACAGTAAAGTGGATATACAGTATAACCTACAACACCCCATCAGTTATATTCAGGTCAATAGTGCCACCTGTTGGCGCAGTTTTGTAACTTAGAGAACAACTTTCGTTATGTCGAGATCACGAGAAAATTAATTAGAGAACATTTGTTATGTCGAGATCACGAGAAAATTAAGTCGTTATAACGAGAAAACAACTCTCTTTATGTCGAGATCACAAGAAAATTAAGTCGTTATAACGAGAAAACACTCTCGTTATGTCGAGATCACGAGAAAATTAAGTCGTTATAACCAGGGGCGTAGCCATAATTTCAGAAGTGAGGGGGACAGAAATGTTTTATATATATATAACATTTCTGTAATCTATATAACCTACCAGTCAACAGTTTTTGAACAGTAAGATGTTTAATGTTTTATAAAGAAGTCTCTTCTGCTCACCAAGCCTGCATTTATTTGATTCAAGGTACAGCAAAAGCAGTAATGTTGTGAAATATTTTTACTATTTAAAATAACTGCTTTCTATTTCAATATATTTTAAAATGATTGCTGTGATCAAAACTG